AAACACTGATGGGAACAAAAATCAAAACATACAAAGTATTATACAGTTGCCAGGTGTGGTGCTCACACCTGTAATCTCAGCACTTTGAGAGACCAAGGCAGGAGGATCAGTTGAGTTGGAGACCAGCCTGGGCAACATAGTGAGACTTTATCTCTACAAAAAAATCAAAAATAAATTATCCAGGCATAGTTGTGCCTGCCTATGCCCCAGCTACTCAAGAGGCTGAGGCAGGAGGACCTCTTCAGCCCGGGAGGTCAAGGCTGCAGTGAGCTATGATGGTGCCACTACACTCCAGCCTGGGCGACAGAGCAAGACCCTGTCTAAAAAAAAAAAAAAAGGCAGGGGAATCATCCAGTCAAAGGGTCTCCCCCGACCCCTGAGCAGCCGGTCCCTTCCCCTGGAGTCAGCCTCTGTTCTGATTTGTGTCCGTCTTCCCGGCTTGTCTGTGTGCGTTCAGGCAGCCACCCATGTGCCGACCTCTGCCTTGTCACCCTGCAGGTAGCGCACGGCTCCTCTTTTCTACGCCTGGCTTTTGCCACTTAACCACATTTTCGAGATCTGTTCCCAGCAGGGCACTGACTTGAACTCTGTCCCCCCACCGAGGGAGTCCTGAGTGCCACCTGCCCGGTGTGTCCCATCTCCCCACCCAGGGACGGCAAGGCGGAGATGGTCTCCCTGTGTCCCTGAAGTTGGGTGTGGCTGTTCGACCGTGGCCTCAGTGAGGCTCATGGCCCCAGGCTGCAGCCTGAGAACTGCTGTGTGACCCTCCGCGGTCTCTTCCCACTGCTGCGGGCATCAGCCGGGTCCCTGCATGACCCCAGGGGCTCCAGGGCCCTGCACCCTGCGCTGTGTGGGCAGCAAGTCCAGAAGGAGATGTCCATGGTGCCCATGGGAGGAGAGGCCGGTCAACCGTAGATCCCTGCCGGACACCAGACCGGGGCTGTGCAGCTTCATGCCTCCGCCGTTTCTCAATCTGTCCCTCAGGGTAACTCTCTAAGGTGGAGGGGAGATCCGATGGGGTAATGCTTCCTCCTCCTGTCACCTGAATAGGAGCAGCCTACAGGGAGCTTCCTCTGCCCTGCCACTTGTCTCTCCTTACCCTCTGACCAGCATCGCCGCCCCTGCATGCGGGGCCTATGCCTTCGGCAAATGCCCTCACCCAGGCCCAGGCCAGAACCTCAGGGTCGACCTTGACGACCTCCTCCTCCTCCTGAGTCAACCTTGACCACCTCCTCCCCCTCCTGCCGCTGCTCCTCCTTTTCCTTTTCCTCTTTCTCTTAAAGCTCAGGAGCCAACCT